TCATCCCTTTGTCTCCCAGTCACAGAAAAGCTGCCAAATTAGCCAGTGCCCCAAAAGCGCCCCTACCAACCTCAGGCGACCGCACAACGGCAGATTCCCTGGCCAGTCTCTGTTCACAAGGTTTCTGTGCTGAAACCTGCAAGGAAAGCGTCTCCTTTCGCGATACGAATGCTCCCCCTGGATGGCATTCATCTAAGGAAATGGCGGCCTCCCAGGGGAGCACTCATTAATTACTTCCCTTCCAGTTTCACAGTTATGTTGCCAGTGTGAAAATTCTGATTATTGGTGGGAACGTTCTAATGGGGCCCTGTGGTGGTCCACATTCGGGAGACCAATGGGTTTTGTTAGTATGAACGCTTTTGAACGGGGAAACAGGGTATACTGCATGAAAGTCAGGGAAAACACATTAAACAAAGGGGAAAATGCACGAATAGACAGCGGTTCTGCCACAGATGCCTTCTTGATTCGTATGTGGTCAATGGGTTAAAGTTGAAATTTGGATTAAGGAGCATACCCCTAAACGGTAACTGGTAATAGAGTTGCAGTGTTTTTATTATTATTATCTTGTGTCCCTGGGTACTGCCCCCACATTCGTACACTGGGAGATTTGCCGGTGATTTGACCATAATTGGCTTTTTTCATGACTGCCCCCTCCCCCCTGAATCTACTATCCTGGCATGACTGTCTCCTCCACCTTAAGTCTACCATCCTGGCATGACTGCCACCTGAATCTACCATCCTGGCATGACTGCCACCTGAATCTACCATCCTAGTTAAGCAACAGTGTACAGATACCATTCATGAAAGATTTGGGCTACAGATTGCCATTTTGGTGAGGCTAGAGGTAGGTAAATAATTAATATTATTAAAGGAACACTACAGGCACCATAACCACATATGGTAGTAGTGGTTGGAGCGCCCTATTGCTTTACATTGGAATCAAACCATGTTTAAACTATTTGACTTCTTACCTAGGATTTGCCAGGCATCATGCTAATCATACGCTACTAAAGTCGCAGAGCCATTTGATGCAATAAGCTGTAATAATATAATGAGCTGTAATGATACAATAAGCTGTAATAATATAATGAAATGTAATGATACAATAAGCTGTAATAATATAATGAAATGTAATGATACACTGAGCTGTAATAATACAATGAGCTGTAATTATATAATGAGCTGTAATTATATACACTGAGCTGTAATAATATTATGAGCTGTAATGATACAATGAACTGTAATAAATATAATGAGCTGTTATTATACACTGAACTGTAATGATACAATAAGCTGTAATGCTGGATCCCAAAAGCAACATACAAACACAAACACATCAACAACCCATTCGTGGCGGCCACCATGCAAGTCTGGCACAGACAGGGCGCGAAACAATATCTGACGACAGACCCCGGCCCACTTCTCCCCTTGAGAGGCAACCCAGACTTCCCGGCAGGGGACATGGGCCCAACCCCGCACCCTATAGGACACAAGCCAATCATCCGCATGAAGGACATCCTCCAGAACCCCTTTGACATACGACCACTGCACGAACTATTCCCAGATAGACCTCTTACCTTCATACACACACTCCAGAGAGCGCAAATGACACAATACGCCCGATCCATCCCTCAGAAACCATCCCTCCTGAGGGACCCAACATCGTTTGAACACCTCTGTATGCAAGACAAGGAACCGCCACGGGCCATATCACAGATCTACTCGACCCTAATCACGAGCAGATACCTATTGGCACCCCCATGCGTCAGACAGTGGGAGGAAGACCTAGACGAACCCATGACAGAGGCAGAATGGGACACACTCATCACCTTAATACAGAAAACACCGGCCTCAGCACGCCTACAGGAGAATTCCTACAAAATCTTCACCAGGTGGCACCTGACACCATCAAGGCTCCATGCAAGAAACCCAGAGATAACTGACACCTGCTGGAGATGTGAGGAAGCAGTGGGTACGTTCACACACATCTGGTGGGCGTGCCCCAAGATCCGTCCATATTGGGAGACGATCAGGCAAACTATACACGAAGTAACAGATGAATTATTGCCAGAGACCCCGGCCGCCTTCCTCCTACACAAAACTACAATGCCAACACAGGCATACATCAGATCCATCATCCCCAGACTACTAAACGCGGCCAAGGCGACCATCCCCATCTATTGGAAGCAGTCCACTGCACCCCCACTGAGACGCTGGGTAGAAGAAGTGGAAGCGACGCGAAAATTCGAAGACATGAAAGCCGTCACCACGCAACAAAGGGACCGCTACTCACAACGCTGGTTCTACTGGCTACGCCACACCGCGTCTGACCCCTTCCAAAGTCACCGAGCAGCAAACACCCCCGAGAGGAACGAGCGAGAGGAGGCGGGCCCGAGCGGGGAGCCGAGAAGCCCGGGGGCTGAGCGGAACGGGGCGGCGACAGGGGACTAGATAACAGACCACCAACCCACAACCCCCTCGCTCACTCACTTAGGACACGACCACACACACTAACACTCAAGACATCGACCTTAGGCACAAGAGAGGGTCACATTACCGGACTCAGAAAACAGAGACACATAATATTACACCAACCACCGGCTAAGGCGACACCCGCATGATACACCAGCCGCACACAACACAAACACCAGGGAATATATAGAGGAACTACAGCGAACAAGCACGGATAGAACAGGATGAAACAGCGTAACACAAATGCCCCCACACTACCGACAAGAACACAGGAAACACGGGCCGCAATAACAAACCCACTCGAAAGCTGTGCTGCCCATGAGACCGCAACAGACCTGGCACAACACACGACAACAAGCAGGAAAATAGGACGAGACAGCAGGGGCCACAAATGAGACGTGTGGGAAAGACACCGACTAAGAGACAGCAGTCCAGTAGCCCGAGACGCAATAAGCACCCACAACACATACCAGCTCAATACCTCAACACACACAGCCCTAGGAACGGGTTGAGCGCACGCGGCGCAGGCAAACTCCACTATAGATGCGATAAAAAAGCGCTGCAACATGTGACAAGTCCTAAAACAAGCATCAGAATACGCACCACACTCATCAAACAACACACACACCAGCCAGACCATACACAGCATGCACACTATGATAGCTAATAATTATATTACATTATATAGTTAAAAGTAAAATACTCGAACCGCCTCTGCGCAGGCACCTAAACGACACATCTGCTGCAATGTGAAACGAGCCTCTGCGCAGGCAACGAAACGCTATGATAGATACACAGTGACACAAGCCTCTGCGCAGGCAACTAAACGTTATGTTAGATGCAATGAAAAAACGCCTCTGCGCAGGCAACTGATTGTTCCGATCACCGCAACGAGAAACACGCCTCTGCGCAGGCAACCGACTGTAATGTTTAAATACAATCGTAAACCACGCTTATGACATGATACCAATAAAAATATTTAAAACAATAAGCTGTAATGCTACAATGAGCTGCAATAATACAATGAGCTGCAATGTTACAATGAGCTGCTGTAATGATTATGATTAACATGCCCCTTTAACCAACAAATTTCGGTGACAGATGAAGCTACCACTAGCCAGATTAATGATGGCTAATTCTAGCACTGCATTTTTTGTCCTGTAAATCTTTGACCAAATAGCTGACAAAGCATTATAGAAAATATAGTCCTCTAACATTTGCATTCTACCTGTAAAAGGACAGCAGTGATATTTTTATAGGTTCTGTTGAACAATGAACAGTAATGTTTCTGCTGCTGTGCCTGCGAAGATATGAGAGGAATGTTAAAGGGTGTACTCTGACCTTGAACCTCCTGCTTACATTGAACGATTTCACTGTAACTTACAGGCCAGAACCTGGGGCCCCGGGGCCTACAAATACACTAGGTCTCTGTCTGCCTCTCTGCTTAGTACAGCTCTGCAAAAATACTATTCATTTACTGACACAGAGTTTATCTACCAAGCTCCGGATGCACATGTGAACAGCAGATTTGGGAAAAATATTGGAATGTCAGGTGAAATTGCTATTTGCTATTCACTAAAGGTAATCCAAGCTTTGAGCTTTGCATAGAATGCTTCAATTCTGACTTTTACTTATTTGATGTCTGATAAAAAATAAATAAATAAATAAATAACAATAAAAATACAAAACAGTGTCTGACTTCCTTCCAAAATAGAAGTGTGTGAGTATAAATACAGTGTAGGCGTTAAAGCGTCTTAATGTGGTGAGTTTTCTGCATAAATGCTGTTTCTTTACGTGGACAGCGGAAACATTACTTTGGTTAAGAACACGCCACAAACCGCCGCTAGAGGCATTTCCTCCTTAAAATCTATGATAAAAAAAAAAAAGAAAAAGAAATGTTCTGCATCATGTTCATGCTTTATATTCATATTTATTTATTTACAATGATTCTCTGAATTTGGCGGAGCACAGTAATTATAGTGCACGTGCC